TCATTTAAAAAGACACTGATGCTGAGAAAGAATGAAGGAAGGAGGAGAGAGGATGACAGAGGATGAGATGGTTCGATGGCATCACCGACTCAATGGACAAGAGTTTGAGTAAACTCCAGGAGTTGGTGATGGACAGGGAGGCCTGGTATGCTGCGATTCATGGGGTCACAAAGAGTCAGGCATGAATGAACAACTGAACTGACTGAAATTTCAGTTATTTGCCTGCTGTTGTTTTGAAGTTGAGTTGTAGTAGTTTCTTTGACATTCTGGATGTAAACCCCTTATTCAGATACACATTTTGAAGATACTTCCTCTCATTCTATAGTTGCTTGTTGTTGATTGTTGAGACTCTCCTTTCTTCACTTTTTAAATTTAGAACCTTGGCAAAGATCATTTGGCCACACATGTGTCAATTTACTTGCAATTCCCTTTTTATGGTTCACTGGTCTCTTCCTTCCTATTTTGTTGCTGGTACAACACTGTTTTGACTGTTGTGGCATTCTTATGTGGATTGAATTCAGGAAGCATTAAGGCCCCATTGTTCTTTGCTCTCAAGATTTTTTCTCTTTGAGTTTCTTTTAGGTTCCATAAGTATTAGTATTCTGGGTTTGTTTTTTTTTCCCATTTGTATAAAATTGAAATGAGATTTTGTGAGTGGTTTCAATATATATGTACATCACTTTTAGTTGTATAAGAAGGTCAACAGCACTAAATATTCAAGTCTGTGAATATGCTGTGCCATTCCATTTACTTGTATCTTCTTTCTCTCAACAGTGTACAATGGTTTTCAGTGCCCAAATCTTTCACTTCCTAATGAGCCTCTTGCACTACCTTGTTTGAGTCATCTGAGTCAGGGATGGGAAAGACAGGCTCATGAAGAGAGGGAATGTCCTCTATCCTCTCTGTGCCTACCCTCTGGTTACTTGTAGTACAGGTGTGCAGGGCCATGCCCTTCACCTCTGCCTACAAGTGAGCCCCCTCTGGGAATTTTCTTTAAATCTGAGTGTTCACTTTACTATTGAAATGTCCACAAGCACTTTCCCAATGCCTGGCCTGTGTCCAAGAGCCCCAGGTATACCTACATATGACTGAGCATATGAGACCGTCAAATCTTCTGCAATAAAGAAAAACCAGAACAGCAGCTCAGTGTCTTTTCCTTATCATTGGAGCTCTTAGAGCTGAATGTTCCAGTGGAGTAGCCACTACTCAGATCAGCCTATTTAGAATGAATATACTTCAAACAATAATTAATGTGTTATATTTTTAAAAAGCCCCACAAAAACCACAGAATTACTTGGTCACACTAGTGATATTTCAGGTGTGTCCATAAATGTTGGAATTTCAGTTTCATAAGCTTGAATGTAAGAGCTATATTGAGCATGTGGAAAAGTAAGGTTGGGATTCTCTCAGGATCTCTATGTCATATGAAATTTTGCAACTGTGATCAACATCTTGTTGAAAGGCTCTGACTCCGCCAAGCACAGGGAAGGTCTGTGAACCTGGAGGGAAGACCAGGGAGATGCTTTGTGAGCCAAGAGAAGGAGGAAAGATGGAAGGGTCAACTTGTATAATAACTGTATTATTGCTCATGGTTGTCTTTCTACAGAAATGTATGCTAGAGAGTCTTAGCAGCAGTGATGTAGAAGAGAATTAGATAGGACACAGGTCTCAGGGAGAGTAGGATTTAGAGGGAGAGGGTTCCTGAACCGCTCAGGTTATACCTGCTTCTTTGGAGATAAAACAGGTGAATATGAACTGAGGATTTAAATTGGAGGGAGAGAGTTTCTGGACCACTTGGGAGATAAAAGAAGGTGAATATAAACTGAAGAAGAAGGGAGTATGTGTAAGCTTGTGATTTGCTCCTCGTATTTTAGTGAAATAATAAACTGTGTGTGCATGTGCTTTGTTGTGCTGCGCCTGCAGTCGTCTCTTGTTACAGACATCTCTTCTTGCTTTCACGTTTAGAAGTGTCCTTTCTCACAAGACTCCTCTTTCTCTGTCCTTTCATTGACAAACACGAGAGAATGGCTTATGGTTGGTGCCTTCAGAGTCTTACATACAAGGGACTTTGGGCATGTTTAAATTCTCCTGTGATGGCCACATCCTAATGGGACCAAAAGCCTAATAGTTACTTGACACTGCAGGCCAAGTTCTTGCAGTGAGTGTCAGGTTCTGGGTGAGATATGAACTCGCTACCTCTGCATTTTCAGGACGCGTAGATTGCCCTCACATTTGTCTTCATTGTTTATTGCTCATGTAAAGGGTGTTCTCGGGGTTGGATAAGTCAACGCACACAGGCTCTGGCGTCCCAGACTGGACTGAGTCTCCTGGAGCTCATCTCAGCTTCCAGCCCAAGGATGCTGTGCTGAAGGTGCTTTCACGTGAGAGCGGTCCATGCCCAGTTGACCCTGGAGACCAGCAAGGCCACAGATGCTTGAAAATGTGAAGGAGCCGCTGGCTTTCCTAACACACTGGCTCTCACAGCCCTGCTGACCTGGTCTCCTGGGACTGACCAGACCTAGGTCAGAGACTCAGAGCAGCAGGACCCAAGATCACTGTTCCATGTAGAACCCAATGCTCCATCTAGACAGCCCTGCCCCTGCTCTGCACACCCCAGTCCTGCCCACCCTGTAACCTTTACTCAAACTTTCCCAGGTTTGATTCCTCCCAGTCTTTGCAAGATTGGGGTAAACCCTGGCTGGTGCTGTGTGTATATGAGGCTTCCCTGTCTGTAAAACCTTTGTGGCATCACTTCAGACTAAGACACTTTGGACATGTTACTTTAATTATAATATTGTGTTCATCCTCCCTAAGGGGCTAAGAGACTTAAGCAGTTATTTTGAGCACCAAGTTTCTCCCAGTTATCTAAAGTTAGCTCAGGCACAGAATACTTGTTACCTGAAGTTGGTTGTGTATCTAGGCTGTTGTGGAAAGTGATGCAGTGAATTTAGGACTGCAGATATCTCTTTGTGATACTGATTTAATTTCCTTTGTATATATATCCAGAACTGTGTTTGCTGAATCATATGCTACTCTTTTCATACATTTATAAGGAAACTTTTACTGTTTTCCACAACATAGCCACACAGTTTACATTCCCACCAGCAGTATACAAAGGTTCTAGCTCCCCACATTATGGCCTTAACCTGTTAATTCTTGCCTTTATAATATACAAACTAACAGGCATGAGGTGTTGATTTACTTTGCCCTGATGATTAGTGAGGTTGAAAACCTTTTCCTTTGTATGCTAGTCATTTGTCTGTCTTGTTCCTGAAACATCTGTTTAAATCTTTGCACATTCCTCAACTCCCTTATTTACTCTTTTTAATATTGTATTTGTTTTGCATTTTAGCTGTGGTATTTTCTTAGGAATTTTGAGGATGAGCTCCTTATCTGATACATGGCTTGTAATTTTTCTGTAGATTATCTTTTCATCCTACTGATTTATTGAAGATACTACCCTTTTCCTATTCCATTGTCTTAGAACCTTGATGAATTTCATTTGACCATGTATCTGTGACTTTTCTTGGGGCTCTGTATTCTGGTCTTTAGGGCTATGTATCTATTTCTATGTCAGTATCATACAGGTTTGATTCCTATATCTTTGTAATGTGTTTTGAAATCAGGAGGTGAGATACTTTGATCTTTGTTTTCAAGGTTATTTTGTCTATGTGGAGTCCTTAGCGGTTCCATATATATTTTTGGATTTGTTTTTCCCATTTCTATGAAAATGATGTTAATATTTTGATTGGTGTTGCAATGAATTTTTACTTAGTTTTGGGTACTATAGAAATGTAAGTCTCCAGTCTGTGAGCATGATCTGTCATTTCAATTCCTCGTGGCTTAGTTCATTCTCTCAGTGGGGTGTGTAGTGTTCAGTGTGCTGGTCGTTTCTGTCTGAAGACCCTGTGTCCCTCCCTCCCTGATCTCAGAGTCAGTGGTGGAGGTATGGGCTGGTGAGGAGATGCAGTGTCCCTCCCTCCCTCCTCACCTCTTCTCTGATGATGTTCAGCACAATTGCCCTGGGCCCTGTGTCCACACCTGTCCCCTCAAGTGGAACACCTGCTGGGAAATCCTCTAAGATCTAGGTATTGGCATTGCTGTTTCAGTGTCCCAAAGGCTCCTGAGTACGTGGGTTGTATTCACAAGCCCAGGAAATACCTACAAAAATGAATCATCAAATCAGGCCAGCCAAATACTCTGCAGAAGCTGTTGGGCTACATTTTGCAGGCCTGCAAGTGCTGTACTTTGCCTGGACTTGAAACCAAAAAAAGATTCCAGAGTTGACAGAGATATCAAAGGGTTAATAGATGGGACGTCTTACATATCTGAAGTAAATGGGTCCTGGAGATGAAAGGTTGTTGCTGAACCACAAAAAGACTCCGAGATTCTTGGCCTCCGGAGGAGAAGAATTCAATCCAGGGCCAGAGACGAGGCTTGATCCCTCAGAACTTTTGTGTAATAAAGTTTAATTAAAGTATAAAGGAGATAGAGAAAGCTTCTGACATAGGCATCAGAAGGTGGCAGAGAGTGCCCCCCTGTTAGTCTTTAGCTGGATGTTATATAGTCACTAGCAGTTTGTTAAGAAAGAAAGGAGGGTGTACGTGCAGAGCGCGCAGAGCGAGTGGCGCCCGCACGCCCTCCGCTGCTCCGCGGGCGGGGCCCGGCCGCCCGGAACGCTGAGGCGGCGGCGGCCAAGGCGGCGGGTCTCGCGCGCCGGGCCCGCGTGCCCGAGCGGAGGGCGCCGTCCGCCGCGCAGGCCGCGCTCCCTCAGCCCGCGTCGGTGATGAGGCGCTGAGGCGGCGGCCGGCGCTGTGCGGCACGACCGAAGGACGAGGACGCGGCCGGGCCGAGGGCGCGGGGCGCCGGTCTCCTGAGGCGAGGGGCGGCGGGCGCATGGCGCAGTGACGGCCCCTGCCGCTCCGCCCGCTCCCCGGCCCCAGGCTAGGCCGTCCGGCCGCCACCCCTCCTGCTCGGCCGCCGCCTCCACCGCCGCCGCCATGGCCAATGACAGCGGCGGGTCCGGCGGGCCGAGCCCGAGCGAGCGAGACCGGCAGTACTGCGAGCTGTGCGGGAAGATGGAGAACCTGCTGCGCTGTAGCCGCTGCCGCAGCTCCTTCTACTGCAGCAAGGAGCATCAGCGCCAGGACTGGAAGAAGCACAAGCTCGTGTGCCAGGTCGGCGAGAACGTTCCTGCCCCCGGCACGGGCCAACCGCAGCAGCCAGGCCGCGCGCCGCCGCCCAGGGCCGCCGGAGCCAGGGAGGCCAGGAAGGCGGCGCCGCGCCGGGACCGAGCCGTCGAGGCCGCGGGCCCGCGGGCCTCCGGAGACGCGGCCAAGGCGAAGGCGAAGGCCAAGCCCATGGCCGACCCCGTGGCGGCCGCGTCCCCACCCTGCGCGGCCCCCGGCGGTCAGGGTCAGGTAGCGGCGGCCGCCGAGGCGGAGTCCGCGAAGGAGGAGCTCCTGGCCCGCCCGTCGCTGTACCAGGAGAAGGCGAACCTGTACCTGACGAGTAACGCGTCGGGCGAGGGCCTGAGCCACGGCGGCCTGCGGCCCAACGGGCAGACGAAGCCGATGCTGGCACTGAAGCTGGCGCTGGAGTACATCGTGCCCTGCATGAACAAGCACGGCATCTGCGTGGTGGACGACTTCCTGGGCAAGGAGACCGGCCAGCAGATCGGCGACGAGGTGCGCGCCCTGCACGACACGGGCAAGTTCACGGACGGGCAGCTGGTCAGCCAGAAGAGCAACTCGTCCAAGGACATCCGAGGCGATAAGGTCACCTTGATCGAGGGCAAGGAGCCCGGCTGCGAAACCATCGGGCTGCTCATGAACAACATGGACGACCTGATCCGCCACTGTAACGGGAAGCTGGGCAACTACAAAATCAATGGCCGGATGAAAGCCATGGTTGCTTGCTATCCTGGCAATGGAACAGGTTACGTACGTCATGTCGCTAGTCCAAATGGAGATGGAAGATGTGTGACATGTAAGACTGGGATGCCAAAGTAATTGGAGGTATACTTCGAATTTTTCCAGAAGGCAAAGCCCAGTTTGCTGACATTGAACCCAAATTTGATAGACTGCTGTTTTTCTGGTCTGACCGTCACAACCCTCATGAAGTACAACCAGCATATGCTACAAGGTACGCAATAACTGGTATTTTGATGCAGATGAGAGAGCGCGAGCTAAAGTTGTTTTGCCCGATGTCCGAATCCCAGAGCAGGAAGAGAGAAGTTCCAAGACAATGCAATTTACAAAAAGGGAAGTTTTATTACTGACTCGAGCCAGGGCTTTCTGCTGCAACCAACACAGTGGTGCAAGGTCAGAAAAGCCCTGAGCAGAGGCGGTTACCCAAATTTATAAGGTATGCATAAGCGGTTAGTAGCTGGCTTAAGCGGATTGGTTACATGTTTGCAAAGCAATTTTATTGGTACAAACTTTCACGGGCTTTTGTTTAAACTTAGGCATCCGCGGGCTTTTTAGCTCTCCCTTTGTTTCTTACTGGGCGCATATTGATTGGCTGGCTCCAGGTTACCTGATGGGGGCAGGGAATCCCACCATTTCACGGGAAACCAAAACCCAGGTCCCGGCCGCCTGCTAGCCCTGGCAGCCCCACAAAAGTAAAATATCTAACAGGTGAAAAAGGTGTGAGGGTTGAACTCAGTAAACCTTCTGATTTGATCAGTAAAGACGTCTTATAGAGCCTTTCATCCAGCAATACCCCACTTCACCTACAATAATTATTGACGCTACTTATTAACTTGTGAATACAAATAAATGGGATAAAGAAAAATAGACAACCAGTTGGCAGTTTAAGGAAACAGAAACAACTTTTTTGTGTTGCGTCAAAACAGAGATTTTGACTGTGTGGCTCTGTACTGCATGATTGACTCCAAACCTGTGATGGGAGGAATGTAAGTTATCAATCTGGACATGAAATAAGTGCCCTAGGCAGAATTGTTTTCATTCTTATATTTTGCCAGATCTGTCATCTAGCTGAATTCATTTCATCTCTCCCTTTTTTATATAGTCAAGTTTGAATTTGAAATAATTTTTGTATAATCAGGTACAATTTATCAAAACTGAATTGAGAAAAAATTACAGTATTATTTCCCAAAATAGCATCAATCTATTTTTGTAAACCTCTTCGTACTATTAAATTTTGCCCTGAAAAGCCTCTTAAAGAAAAGAAAGAAAGGAATGTCTTAAAACTCAGAATGGCACCAGGCCCCTCATCCATAAGATGTATTAGAAGAGTCATCCCAGGCCATAAAATGATTGACTTGAATCCTGTAGACAGGCAGATTACTATACAAATAGTTTCGTTTACATAGATTAGGGGAACAATGTCTGAATATAACATAATGGTTTGTCAAGTAGGTTCTGAACCATTAGGCAGAATGGACTTCAAGACAGAGTTTGGGGTAAAAGCATAGTACATTAACATAGCTTAAGACAAACATTTCCATAAGAAGAGTGCATTGGTTAACTCAAGGTTTGAGAAGAGCTAACTTCAGGTGAAACCAGGTGTCATGGCAACACAGTATTTTAAGAGAAATCTCCTTTTAAATTTGTATAGAAAAGGGGCGGGGGGAGCATCATTCCTGCCGCTTAAGAGAGAGATAAAAATGTCTGACACTTGAAGCCTATTTCCTCTGTTTGGAGACCCCTGGCCTTCCTGCCTGTTACCCTCTCAGAGAGACACCCACTGTGGATAGCAGGGGACAGGCAGAAGACAGCAGCTATAGTTTTCTTTACTCTGAGGGGATAAGGAGTCTACCAGTTACAGTGGGAATGAACAGCAGATTGGCTCATTGATTACCATGGAAACCAGAAAAGGGCCACATCCCTCTTAGCCCCTCAGGCTAAATACTCTTATGGGTCAGAGGTCTTTTCTTTGTTAATTTAACAGCAAACAGTCATCTTGAAATGGCCAGAAAACACAAAGGAAATAACAAGAGAGGGGTGTTAACACCCTGTATAAATCCATGCATACTCAGTCACTTAGTTATGAGCCCACTGTTTGTGACCCCATGGACTATATCCCACCAGGCTCCTCTGTCCATGCTATTTTCCAGGCAAGAATATTGAACTGGATTGTCATTTCCTCCTCCAAAGTATCTTCCCAACCCAGAGATTGAACCCACGTCTCCTGCATTGGCAGGCAAATTCTTTACCACTAAGCCACCTGGGAAACACCTGCACTTGTCCCAAAGTTCCTGTTCTGCCGTCAACTGTCAGAACCGGCAGGACTCGTGGTGATGATCTGAAGATTCCTTCAGTCTCCCTGGTGGCTCAGACAGTAAAGAATTCACCTGCAATCCAGAAGACCTGGGTTAGAGCCCTGAGTCAGGAGGATCCCCTGAAGAAGGAAATGCCTAACCACTCCAGTATTCTTGCCTGGAGAATTCCATGACAGACGGCCCTGGCCGGCTAGTCCATGGGCTCACAAAGTGCTGAAATCGACTGCATGAGTTATCCGCACACATATATAAACATATATAGTGGCTTTTGTGTATTATAGTTGGTAGGCACTAGCGAGATGTGACTGCTATAATTTACTTAAAGGCATGTTATACATGTGTCAAAACACTTGTGATTTCAGGTTGGTTAGCATGAAGGTGAGAGCTCTAGTGGACATGTAGAAGTGAGAGGCTGAGAATTGACTTTTTCAGCATCTCTATCTTTAGGTTTGCAACTGATATCAGTGTCTTACTGAAGGACTCTGACTGCACAGAGCACAGATGACTGCCATCTGCTATCCACATTGGGGTGTCTCTTCAGGACCTTGGGAAAAATGTCAAGGTGATGCTGTGAGATCCAGCAGGCCTCAACTGGAGGCTATGTGGGTGGGTTGCTCATTCTAATCACCTTTTTGCTCATGGAATGCACTGTGGAGGGCATTTGGTGCAGTGATGAGAAAGGGGAGACAGATAGCTAACAAGATTCCATTGGGATCTGATGGGAGAGGGTTCTGGAAGTTAAACCCTCTGTTAACCCCAGAGTTAAACTCTCTGGTGGCTAAGAAAAGTGAACATGAAATTAAGAAGAAGGAAACGTGTATAGAATTCTGACTTATTCTTTACATATGAAATGATATGATAGAGAAATTGTGTCCTGGACTTGCATTGTGCTCTATTTCTAATCAGCTTTTGTTGCTTTACTCTTCAAAAATTATTTTTCCTATAAGAGCTGCTCTTTTCTGCTTTTTTACTAATATGGAAACCTGGTCTCTGGTCAGCACATCTTGGGTATTGGGCACTGCGGGCTGTTTTCTATTGCATGTTGAACTATGAGGACCATATCCTAGTGGGCACAAAACTCTCATTGTCACTTGACACTGGAGACCACGTCCTTGCAGTGCCTGTGAGGTGGTGGGTGAGACGTGAACTCTCTCCTCCTGCGCTTTCAGGACTTGTGACTTCCCCTCATGTTTGTCCTCACTGTTAATTCCTCGTGTAAAGGGCGCTGCCAGGGGTGGATGAGTCACAGCACACAGGCTCTGGGGTCCCTGCCTGGGCTCGGTCTCCTGGGGCTCTTCACAGCCTCTGCATCAGCCAAGGCTGATGTGCTGAAGGTGCTTCCGGGTGAGAGGTCCATGTCCTGCTGCTCCTGGAGACCCTCCACATCTGCAGATTCTAGAGTCTGTGAAGGGCCCACTGGGCTTCTTCACACACTTGCTTTTATAGCCCTGCTGACCTGGTCTCCTAGGATTGAGCATTCCCAGTTCAGCAGGTCCTGGGATCACTGCTACTCTCAGAACCCACTGCTGCGTCCAGACAGTCCTGCCCCTTCTCCCCAACCCAGGCCTGCCCCATCCTCTCTCCTTTCCTTACACCTTCCCAAGTCTCATCCCTCCCAATTTTCCAAGTCTCAGTGCAAACCCGGCAGCTACCACATGTTTATGGAGGACCCTTGTCACATTATTCTGGATAAATGAAATTGGAAGTGTTTGCCTCTATCCTTTCTAAGGGTCTGTGAAACTTGAGGTGTTGCTGTGAGCATTAAGCATCTCCCAGGTAACTCAGGTCACCCCAGGCAACGGGAGAGTCTCTGTTATGTGGAATTTTTGTCCTTCCCTCCCCCAGGGCTCAACACACTCTCAAGTCCATGCCAGCTCCTCCCTTGGAGAAATGTATTGGTTAATTGAGTAATGGACTGATTGGAGACAGTGGCCATACACCGATGTTCCTCCTTCTAATGTGTCCACATTGCAAACTCTAGGGTTGCTAGAGGTTGAAGGAGGAAGTAAAGTAACAGTGACTAGAGGAGAGAAATAAGGAAGCAATTAGAGAAGCAGCAGCAGGAGAAGGAGGCAAGGAAGGTTGTGGGCAGAGATGCATGGAGACAGTGACCACCTGGAGGAGGAACAGATTGGCACAGCCTCATTCTTGGTCACACATAGGCAAGTTGAGGGTGGCAACAGGATGTTGGAGGTCAAAGGTCCACTTTTTCACTGAAGAGGGAAACACCAAGGCCCTGGGAGTTCCCTGGAGACAAGGGCACCACAGTCCCCTGGTCACATCCTAACTCTAAATCTCCCCTTTGCTTTCCCACAGCCATTCCACAGGAGTTCTGCCTGGCAACACCAGAAAACTGAATGGAAGATAATGAAGAATTGGAGCATAAGAGCAAGAATATGGAAGTCATTTACTGTCAGGGGACGTTCAACTTTACGGAATCCAGTAAGTTGCATTTTTTTTTTTCCTTTGTGTGCCATTTCTCAACGATTCTCTGTTCCTTATCAGTTCCTATTAGGGGAACGAGTGGAGCTGCACACAGTTCTCATCACTGAGATCACGGGAAGGGCTACCTGCTTGGATTCCTTCCAGTAACTCCCTTCAGTGACTCTTTTCAACGTCAGTGGACTTAAATGTATTAGATTATCCATTTTGTTGCAACTGATGGAATTTCATTCTTTGTAATGGCTAAGTAATCATTTTACTAAAGATATATAAGCCTGTATTTCTGCTAATAAAATACCCTTGCTCCACTCAAGACCTGGGTCC